TAGCTTTAGGCTTCGACATTAATAGCCTACGAGGGATACGCGTAGCGTGCATAAGATCTTTTCTGTCAATCACAGTGAGAAGAAACGTGTAATATTATGATGGAGAATTATCTAGATGCTTCTCTCAACTTTTATATGGTAGATGTAGTTGTAATCCGAACTCTCTATCCTCTAATATATTTATTTCATACTACATGATATCATCGATCGATGACCTTATGTCACTTAAGTTATTAAAGACGTTTATAACGATTCTTCCATATATTCTCAAATTTCTAATTGTTTAATCTGTTAAAGTAAATGTAACACTATCTTGTACATCAAGACTCGTGCATTTCGATATTTCCTTAATGATAAAAGCGACGAAAAGGTGCACCGCGATAGGAGCTCGAACTCAATTGTGGTTGTTCTACTTTGTCTACTGCAAGAAACTCAAAGATCTCCTCAATAAATACGTATAAAAGGAATATTTTGGTATGCTCTTCGGGCAGTCATTCTTTTAAATTTTAAAAGAATCGAGCGACGTGACCGAAGATCGACGGGACAAAGCAAGGGATGGAGCTCCACTGACCAGGGCTTGGGTGTCAAACAGCTTGTACCATCCGAACACCATCTGACTGAGGTCCAGCTCATCCAATACGATCTGTGCAATACCCATGAACACTTTTTTCCCCTCTATTCGACCATAGTCACCCCATACTGTTACCTGGAATCATATATATGATACTATTGTAAGTAAACTGTAAGAATAAAAAATTAAAAAAGAAAGAAATTTAAAAATTAAAAAAAAATTAAAGAAAGAAATTCTTTAATCTAGAAGAATATAACGATAATGATACGCGTACCTGTAATATACAACCACGGCAGTTTTCTTTAAAAGCCAATAATTGTTGGTAGAATGGATCCAACGTTTTCCTGGCCATCATGGTTTTCGCTTTTTCTATACATCTTTTACCATTCACCAAATACAGCTTTACATAAGGAGCTGAAATAAGAATTGAAGCTAAGCGTTTCTGCGTCACTCAGCAATCGTGAATTTTGATGAAGTTTAGCCAACCTGGTATTATCTTGCTGCCTTGTTTCGCTTTAAGGTCTTTGGCACGTATGACCTCTACTTCAAGGTAACCCTTCGTGTGGCTCAACGACAGTTGAATCTCGCCGAGGCAACGAGCACCCAGTGCTTGCCTCCCGACTACTTGACCTGGTCCAAGATCTTCGATGAAGTCTCTCAACTGCCCTTCGCCTGCCATTCGCAGACTAGGAGACCAACTGCAGTTTTCAAAATTATACATTTAGCAAGGAATTTAATTACAATTATATCATTTGGGATGAGTACTACGGAAAATATGATGTATGATTCAACAGAAATAAAAGATGTCGAAAAAGAATGAAAATCTGGCTTATAATGTTTACCATGCGACCAATGGAAAAATCGAAACTATGTTTTACAAGTTTGTCCTCTTTTTTCTTTTCCTCTTGCTCGCACGCTAAATGTATATGAGCGAAACAACGATCTTGACTGTTCTAAACGCGCGACAATTTAAAATAGAAAAAAAAAAAGAAATAAAAAGCGCGAGAACTGCAAGCCGAAAATTAATGTTATTCAAAGGAATTCTCTGATACAATGAGAATGCAAAGGATAAAAATCATAAAAATAATAAATTCCGCAGGAGCGAGGGACAATTCTCGCAAGCCTTCGACGAAAGTTGTAAAAGAGAGAGAACACACCTCATTCAGTTTGAGATAAGACGAACTCACGCTGAAAGTGTAGTGTTAGTGTATAGTGAGTAAATATATATTATACACGTGGAAAAAGAGATTATACAGATAAGATTAAAAACATACCAAACTGCTAACATGCATTTTAATTTAAACTCGCAAAAAGAGAGGTACCATTTTAGATAATTATAAATAACAGTAATCAGTCGGTTCTCTTCGATATATATATATATATATCTAATCGAGGAAAAAATATATAACGAAAGCATATACATTAGATAATTGCAATTATAAAATGTGCAATGTAGAAACCGTTTTTACATTTTAATATACGACTGAGTACTGTTTTTTCGCTCACATTTATCTACTTAGCATGCTTTACTAAAAAATCTTAGGAATAGAAAAATTAATCAAAAAGATTTATATTAACTTACACTTACTTGTCGTTGCTACGCTACATGTCGTTGGGAAGATTCACGTTACTAAAGCTAAGCGGATCTTTTCAAAAAGTTTTACTATAAATATAGATATCCGTGTCGAGTATACATAGCGCCATTCTTAAAGTCGTTTATTAGTCTAATAACTAATTGTACTTAAAAATTAGCTTTTGCAATGTCTTAAGTGATAAATCTCAAAAGAGATAGGCCTCTTTTGTGAAATAATCACACTTAATAGTATCCTCAATCGTTCAAGATATATTGCTATAATGATTTTACGATATACCAACAATAAGAGTACGATGTTACATATTTAAGTATCGGACAAATTCATACAAATAAAAATTCACACATCGTATTGCATCCAATCACTTCCTCCTCAAAGTTCCGACCATATTTAGATACAAAATATCGCTGCCAAGGAATAAGATAACGTGTTAGCGAGGTTGTGACTCGTAAACGTCTTATGCCAAACCGTCATTTGCTTACATCTTACAAGTCACGCAAGGGCACATACCTACATTCAATATACTTTTAATTGTTGAACTGTTCCCTCGAGCTGGCACGTAGGCTCTAAAAGGTATACACGCTGCACAATATTCTATGATATGTCAAACACACTTTATGAAAACGACAAGAAATCCGTAAGACAGAGGGGATTCAACTTCCAAGAAACGTTGATATCTCAATAAACAATATATAAACAATATATAAATAAGTCGCTATATATAAAAGATAATGGATCATACAGAAGTATAGGGAAACCATCGGGAAGACGACGAGAGGTCCTGCAAAGACATTCTTAGGTGACATTCGGTATATTCACAGAGTCTTTCTTACCATATGGGTAGAGAATAGGACTTCGTGACAACGAGATATCACATTGACATATAATAGGTACAAAAGTGCGTGCGTGTGTGTGTGTGTGTGTGTATATATACATATGCGTGTATGCGTTTTGTGTGGGTGTACGTGTATGTTATATATATATGTGCAACGGTGCTCCGAAGTAATGCGGTACAATCATTTGCCACAATCAAGCAATTAAGCCAAGACGACAACAACATCGATAATAGACGACAATATTTTTATGGGCACTTTCGTTTCTGGAGCAGGGATGAAAGAATGTCGATAGTAAGTGAAAGGAGATAGAAAACATAGCAGAATATAAATTTCAGCCACAATTCGTCGAAGACTATATCTCGTATAATACATATTTTTTCCTCGCATAAGATTGGCATACAATAAAATTTTACTCTACTCCAGTATGAAAAAAATATTACATTTTCCTAAAATAATTATCCTGATTATATGAATCATTATTTAATTATTATACACCGAAAATTCATTAGACTTAAAAAAGGGAGAATAAATAGGTGTGAAAACAAATTCGTCTTGCAGTAAAACATGAGGTATATGATATATAAACATCAAATTTGATGATTGATTTTCATATATGGCTTTCATATATAGCGCTTAGTTTAATTTATGATACATCGAAAGAGGATCTATGCTTAAGAAAAATTATGGATAATCTGAATTGAAAATTGATAAAAATTAAAGAGGTGTATGAAAAAAGACATATGAAAAAGCATATGGCCACAATTACATAATTGCACAATTCAAATCATGAATGTATTGTTAACGTATCTTCAATCACATATTTGAAAATTTAATAAACAATATGGAGTGTTTATGATGTTCTGTGTGGATAGATATTGGCACATACAAGAAATAAGGAAATTAAATCAGCAGAAT